AGGAAAGAAATGTACATATCACCCAATTTGGAAGAAACAGATTTATTGTTAAAGTCTGTAGAATTCATAAGCTTTGTAGAACAAGACGATGACAAGATGCATTGGGAAGGTTAAAATGTGTTAGTGACTTTAGCTAAGTATCATTATGCCACAATAGTGTGAAATTTATGTAATTACATAATCTCAAAAAAGAAAATGTGTTACTCTTAAAATATGGACTAAAACCTTAGGTAATGTGTATTAAATTTTCACATTCTTGTGGAAATCTATTATTAAATTCATTTTGAATTTCTATATTAGACACGTAATTTTTTGAGAGCCAGACACCAGTGGCTCTCTTAAAAGGCTTAGATCTGAGGATTACAGTTCAAAATTAGCCTGTACAGAAACATCTATGAGACTTCACCTCTAACTTACAAGTAAAAATATAGGACAGGAGGTATTTGTCAAATGCTAAAATGCCACATGTGTATTACAAAGCCAAAAGAGGGAGCTTGGGGCCCTGACTTCCAGGGCTGATACACACACACACACACAAACACACACACACACACACACACACAGAAACACACACACACACACAGAGACGTTTTTCATATTGAAAACATAAATTCATATTTAATTCCCTTTACTTTTGCCACCCAACTCCAATAAACATCAATCCTGTATTTAAATTTTTTAAAGAAAAAGCAAGTGGTTTCATTTCTCACTAGGGTCTGTGGATGCCACAGTGAGCAGTGCCAATGATGGCAAAGGCTCAACAGAAACACGGAGAAAAGAAATGGTGAAGAAAGACAGACAGACAGACAGAATAGCCAATATATTAAAGCTACACAATCATTAAATGAAAATCATCCCAAACTGTGAGAGCAGGAGAACAAAAGAAAAGAGAAGCCCACACGTGGCAGGTGAGACACCTCAACCCAGAGAGGGGGCCAGAATAGCAGGAATAGACTATGGATCCCACCCATGCCCCCTGGGCCTGCTGCTCAGGATCTACCCGTGTTGTTGTTGCTGAATCTGCGCCCAGACACGGGCAAGGCCCTGCGGTATTCCAGAACCACATGCAGTCCCTCATGCTCAAGGGCCAAGTCTCCTTCCTATGATGCTCACTGCCCCATGCCCCAGGGCATGCTAAGAGTATACTTCACCTTCTAGAGCAGGACCCTGAGCCCCATCTTCCCCCAGAGGCGCCAAACCAACAATTTAATGACACATCTAAACCTCCTTGTAAAAGAGCAGCAAGATAAATCCCAATCCAGTAGACAGAAAGAAATAATTAAAATTACATCAGAATTCAACGAATAAGAATAAAAACACCATAGAAAGAATCAACACAACAGAGGGTTGATTCTTTGAAAAAATTAACAAAATTGACAAACCCTTAGCAAATCTTATCAGAAAAAGAAGAGAACACACCCAAATAAATAAACTCAGGGATGAGAATGGAAACCACCACAGAAAAAAAAAAACAAGATTCAGAACGTTATAATGGAATACTTCTCAAAACTTTATGCTAATAAGTTTGAGAACTTAGCAGAAATGGTCCTTTTCCTTGCAAATATCGACATGCCGAAACTAAACCAAAACGAATTAAACCATCTTAACAGGCCGATATCAAGCATTGAAATAGAAACAGCAATAAGAGACCTCCTATCTAAGAAAAGAAAAGGACCAGATGGATTTAGAGAGGAATTCTACAAGGCCTTCAAAGCAGAGTTCACACCAATACGACTCCAACTCTTCAATGAAATTTAAAGAGAAAGTTGACTACCGAACACATTCAAAAAAATTTGACCAATAGACTTCAACAATTCATCCAAAAAATCATACAGCACGATCATACAGGATTCATTCAGGGATACAAAGCTGGTTAATATAATTCATCACATCAACAAGACCAAGGATAAGAACCACATGGTTATCTCAATAGGTGCAGAAAAGGCATTTGAGAAGATACAACACTCCTTTATGATGACGATTCTGAAAAATTAGGAATCCAGGGAACAGTTTTCCACAATACAGTAAAGTCTGTATATGACAAACCTACAGCCAGCATTATAGTTAATGGTGGAGAACTAAAGCCATTTCCTCTTAGCTCAGGAGTGAGAAAAGGACGGCTACTCTCTCCACTTCTCTTAAATTTAGTATTAGAATGCCTAGGTAGAGCAATAAGACAAGATGCAAGCATAAAAGGAATCCAAATAGGGAAAGATGAAGTAAAACTCACCCTCTTTGCAGATGACATGATTTTGTACTTAAAGAACCCCGGACTCCACTCCCAAATTACTCAAGCTGATTCAAAACTTTGGCAAAGTAGAAGGGTATAAAATTAGCCCTCAAAAAATCAATGGCTTCTCTGTATTCCAACAATGAGAAAAGCATACCTGAAATCAGGAAAGCTACTCCATTAATTAAATAGCCACACAAAAAATAAAATACCTAGAAATTAACTTAACCAAAGAAGTGAAGGACCTTTATAATGAAAAATTTGAAAAACCTGAAAACGGAAATCAAAACAGAACTTAGAAAGTGACAAATACTCTCATGCTCCTGGATTGGAAGGATCAACATAGTGAAAATGGCAGTACTTCCTAAGGCTATCTAGAAATTCAATGCGATACCTATAAATATTCCAACCTCATTCTTCAAGGAAATAGAAGAGGCAATCCAAACATTCATATGGAACAATAAAAGACCCCAAATAGCAAAAAACAATCCTCAACAGAAAGAACAGTGCTGGAGGAATATCAATACCAAATTTCAAACTCTACTATAAAGCCATAGTAATCAAAACAGCTTGGTACTGGCACAATAACAGACCTCAAGACCAATGGAATAGAAATGAAAACCCACAAATGAACCTACAGGCGTATAGCCATCAAATCTTTGATAAGGGAGCTAAAAAAATAGAGTGGAGGAAAGACAGCCTCTTCAGTAAATGGTGCTGGCAAAATTGGTTAACTACTTGTAGAAAACTAAAGCTAGATGCTTATATATCACCCTGCACCAGAATCAACTCCAAATGGATCAAAGACCTTGGAGTCAAAGCAGACATTCTGAAAACATTACAGGATGGAATAGAAGAAACCCTAGGTCTCCTTGGTACAGGCCAAAATTTTTTTAATAGAGACCCAGAAACACAACAAATCAAAGAAAGGTTGGACAAATGGGATTGCATGAAATTGCAGAGCTTCTGTATGGCAAAGGACATAGCTAGAAAGATCAATAGAAAGCCCAAGGATTGGGAGAAGATAATAACCAGCCACACATCGGACAAGGGTCTCATATCTAAAATGTACTTGGAACTCAAAAGATTAAATCCCCCAACAAACCCTCAAAGAAACAACTGCTTAATAAACAACTGGTCTAAAGACTTACAGAGAAACTTCTCTGAAGAGGAAAGAAGGATGGCCAATAGACACATGAATACATGTTCAGCCTCCCTAGCCATAAAAGAAATGCAAATCAAAACAACATTGAGAAACCACCTCACCCCAGTTAGAATGGCTATAATCAAGAACTCTAATAACAACAGATGCTGGAGGGGATGTGGACAGAAGGGCAGTTTACTGCATTGTTGGTGGGAGTGTAAACTTGTTCAAGCACTTTAGAAAGTAGTATGGAGGTTCCTCATAAGACTCCATATAGAGCTCCTCTATGACTCAGCAATCCCAGTTTTGGGCATTTACCCAACTGATCACAAACAAGTCCATACTAAAGCTCCCAACACAACAATGATTATTGCAGTATTTTTACCATAGCTAAGATATGGAGCTAGCCCAGATGCCCCTCCGTAGATGAATGGATCAAGAAACTGTGGTATACATACACAATGGAATTCTATTCCTCCAACAGAAAGAATGGCATGGCCCCCTTTGTTAGGAAATGGAAAGACTTGAAAAAATTATATTAAGTGAAGTAAGGCAGGCCCAAAGAGATATAGGTCCCAAGGTTTCCCTTCTTTGCAATAACGAGTACATGTCTGAGACAAACAGAAACTGTCAGACAGGTTGATGTTAGGCGAAATTAACCCAAAGATAAGGATTCAATGTTTTTTTTTCTTTCTTGCTATTGTTTCCAGAAAAGGCAAACTGCATACATGCAGGAGATGGAAGAGCATGGAAAAGACAGAGGAAAAGGAAAAAGAGAAAAAGAGAAAGAAAGAGAAGGGGACTTGTGCTGAGACAGGACAACAGCGGATGTGGAAATGACCACAGAGTCTGTGGAACTTCTCACTGTCCTATGGAGGCGTGACCAGGGTGGTTCAGGAAGTGACCTCTGTGGATGAAGGAGTGACCAGAGAGTGTGGGGTCCTCTACTGAATCACAGTCAGGTGACTGACAGCTGATTACTGGTTTCAGGCAGGTGAAGAGGAAGTGGGGAGGGCCTGTTCTCTTGGACAGATTTAGCAGAAATAGAGTAATAGATGAAGAGAACAGGATAAATGTTTCTCTTCTGAGCCAGCCACAGGTGGCTCATACTGGTAATCCTGGGTATAGAAGCAACAAAGATTTCTACCTCAGAACCCAAGTCAGGCTAGGCCCCAGCACTGATGCTCTTGCAAGGTCTTGCTGGCTACCAATATCAAATAGCATTTGCATCCTTACCTTTCCAACTTACATTTGCCAAGCCTTTCCTCATAAATATATGCAGCAAGTTCACCAGACCAGCCACCATGGTGAACTCTGGGCAGAGCAGGATCCTATGTTGTGACCTTGATTTCACTTCTATTATGAGAAACTAATAGAGAAGACAGGTAGGGAGACATGGACAGAGCTGGCACCACACAGTTGTACAAGTGGTAACAAGAATTACCAAAGCACTCTGGACATGAGGGAGACACAGCAGAGCAAGATCCATCCATACACCCACAGCTACCAGGATTCTCAGTGGGCAAGCCTGCTATGTTCCCAGAAAGTCACAGATCATAGAACATCTCTGTGTCTAACAGTGGACCACCACAATATATTGATAGGTGCAGTCTGATGGTCAACGACATGCAAGCACTGAAGAAGTTTAAGTTTCAGAGTGCTAATATCCAATTGGATATGTGCATTGACCTTGAAGTATTGATCTGTAATAGTTGAATTCAGGGAGAATGTTGGTAACACCAGCAGAAGTAAATAAATGCCTTGACCACTTCTGGATACTTATGCATGTGCAGATGGTATGGAAAGCTGAATGGTTCATTTCAGCAAACTTCTGTGGCTCACTTGGCCCTGGATTGTGAGGCTGCCCATCCTTATGTTTGACGGTGCTCCACTAACTCTTATTGGGCCTTTTCTGGCCATGGCATTCTATGACCATTTGACCTTCACATGGCATCTTCTGGTGTCATCCATTCCCCTCATCCCTAGTGACCCTTGATTGGTTGTGCTTTTTCTGTTCAACTTTTTGCTTTCAAACTAATTTGTGAACAACTCAACAAGAAAGGAATCCATTCCTGGAGTTTCATTATCTACAGTATTGGATGAAATCACAGTCCTGAGGGAGTGGAGAGGAAGATTGTAAACATGTTTTCTAACTACTGTTTTGACCTTGAAGCCAGACCCCAGATGCAGAGCCAGAGGGCAGAATGGGCTCTGTATTCCTCTAGGCAGAGGAGGCCATCCAGGTAATAAGAAGCCACAAAAAACTGAAGATCTATTTAGACACCTGCCTGACACAGAAATCAGAGTCTGCATCCAGAATCACAGCTCCAGGTCAAAGCAGCAGCAATGTTCCCTGTGACTCTAACACTGCTTCTCCAGCATCCACACCTGATCAGTTCCTCTGAAGACAGCAGATGGATTTGCACAGAGAAATCTGTGGTATGCAGCAGGGAAGATGTGGTCATTGTTGGATTTTACCCCCTCTATTCTTGGGAATTGTTCATTCAAAGCTTGAATGACCCTACCCTGCAGCAACAGAACATTCAGTAAGTGATTTCTTGGCTTTCCTTAAATTGTGAATTTTCTCTTTGGGTTACAGTCAGAGGTGGGGGAAGTTTGGACACAATCACTGATGTCCTCTGCATCTTCTACATTTCCCTCACTACAACAGCTCTACTTCATTTCAGATTTTCCTGATGAATATTATTCTTTCATCCAAAGGTAAAGAGTTTTCTGTCTGTCTTCCATTCAACTCCCCTTTCCAGAGATGTCTGACCACCTCACCATCACTGTGTCTCCTCCACTCATCACTGTTACTCAAGGTCACTGGGGTGACTAAGAGTCCATACGGACACTAATGAGCAATGTCCCCATCCATAGTGCAAAGTCCAAGGACTCTTCAATCAATTCTGTACTTTACACTTTTCAAAACAGGACCAATGTTTGGACCTCCTTCATAGCAACTTTTGTTAGGGTGGACATGCAATTTCTGCTTCTGGAATTATTTTGTGTCAGCAAAGTTCTGGGAATGGGGAGCTGCTGGTCAGATCAGTAATAAGAGATTCAAGACATGTTTGATTTTTTCCCCTTAATTAATCTAAGTAAACATGTGCCCTGATGTCCATGTCTTGGCCTGTGTCCCATGTCATTCCCAGAAGCTCTGCTTCCATTCCTTGTCCTCCAACATCTTTCCAGGCTTATTTATTTTTCCCTGCTCATAACTTCCTAAACTACATTTGAATGTTTTTTTCATATCTATTGTCAGTAATGGGGCTTCAACTCTGGGCTTCGATGCTGCCCCTGTGCTATTCAGCTTAAGACAAGCGCTCCATTGCTTGTGCCACTTCCTATTTTTTGGTGGTTTATTAGAGATAAGAGTCTCATGAACTCTAATGCCTTTGATGGCTTTGGACACTGATCCTCAGATCTCAGCCTCCTGAGTAACTAGTATGACAGGCGTGAGCAAAGATGCCTGACTTTTTCATATTTTATACACACTTTCATTCATGCATTTGACCCAGATGAGCTCACTACTTTCAGATCTACATAATTCTCTGTAAACTAGAGAAGTCATGGATGGACAAGTTGTGTGGAAACATCCTGTTTGAGGAAGGTTTGGGAGAGGAATACTTTATTAAATAAGAGATATGTGAGGGATATTGAAGCAACTGATCCTGGTGAGGAACTGAGTGAGAAAGATGGGGCTCATGTGTAAACCTAGCATTAGAAACGTACCCCAGGGGAGGTGGGAGATGTCAGAGCTATCCTCTTCTCTGTCCATTCTCTAATTGGGCTGTGGATTTGTGTGTGTGTGTGTGTGTGTGTGTGTGTGTGTGTGTGTGTGTGTGTGTGTGTGCATGTTCACACATACTCTGATACTCAGGTGTCATCCCAAGTCCTGATGGCTGTCCCTTAGCATTTTTTCTGTCATGACTGGCACTCTACCACTTGACCCACAGCTCTGCACCAGCTTCTCTTGAGTTGCTTGCACATAAGACTGTCACAGACATTCCTGGCCAAAGTAACTACAAAACATAATTCTCCTATATCAGCCTCCTTAATAGTTATAATTACAGGCCTTAGCCACCAGTTCCCAATTCATATTTAGTATAACTGACATTCTAGCTGTCAAGCCTGAGAGTTAAATTGTACACAAGGACATCAGCAAACATCCATGAGAGTTGAGATTCTATGAGAATTTCCCCAAAATGATTACAATGAATGCTAGGAGAACTCATTGTTCTGGAACATTCTTGATTCATATTGGCATGTGGTACCATCTGGCCTTTGAAATGTCTCTGAATTACACCAGTGGTCTGGCTTTGTGCCTGTCTTTCCAGAAATTCCAGGCAGGCTTCAGTGTTCCTGAGTCTGTAGTGACTTCCACAATGGCACCACTAGAGGGAGCGCAGGCCTTGAGGGAAATCAGCTCAGAGGCGATAAACCACTTACTTCAGTACCAGAGAAAACCAAAGGCAATTTTGGTGACAAATACTCTGTGGTTCTAAAAACTTCAAAAGAACTTTAATGAGTCGTGGGTCCAAGTATGCCTCCTCCTGGGTGCACAGGGGGAACATATGCCTCCTCCACAGGGAATGGCCTTGTGAGTGGATTCTGCCTAGCAGTGGCAAGATCTGTGTGCCTTTGTCACAGCCGTGGACACCAGAACTCTATTACACCTGGAATACCAATCTGCAGGGTCACCAAATCAGATGAAGGTTAATGAAGTTTCCCTTGAAAATAGGAACTCTTCACTTGGGATCCTGGACTTTGATCACAGAAAAAAAAATTCTAGACAATCACAACAGTAAGAAAATGTGGCAGAGCTTTCCTGAGTAAGGAAGCAAACAAGCAAGCAGGTAGACAAACAGGAAGCAGAAAGGCAAAGACACACTCTAACTGAGGAGAGACACACAGCTCTTGGGCTGCCAGGGGTATTCATATGGTAAAGGTAGGAGTTCTCACTTCAAAGTTATGCAAACATATGTGTCTCACTTTTGTTCTAATAATTCCTGGTGTTAAACTTTCTGAGTTTCTGTATGTTTTGGGCATTCTTTCCAGATGATTATCCTTGAGGGAAGGTGTGCTGTTATCTATATTTGGGGTAGGATGTTGCTAAAGTTTGGGGGAGCATCTTGGAGGAAGGCGTACATACAACAAGACAACTGCTATTTCATATGATGAGAAATGCATCTCTCAGGAAGGAATGCAACCTGTCATCTCTCTTTGAAGTAAAGATAGCCCTGTGTTTCTAAATCACATGTTTCTAAGTTGCCTTCTCTAGGACTCATTTTTTCCCATAATTTATCCAGCTTCTTTTTGTGCTCAATGACTTTGGTCCCATAATCTTTTTTTTTAAGTTATTTCTTGCCTTTTCTTTTTTCTTTTCTTTGTTTATTGTGAAAATACTGTACAGAGGGGTTACAACTACATGGGCAAGATAATGAGTACATTTCTTATCAAGTATTGTAGCCTCCTCCTTTGTTTCCCCTTCCCATCCCTTCCTATGCTCCCCCTACTCCCCAATTCTCCCCCTCCCCCCGCACGGAGGTTGTAAAGTCCATTTTCGACATAAGGACTTGTACATCTCATTGTTGCAATGGATCCAACTGTATCCCTATTTAAATGATTTGTTTTTCCCCTTCCCCTCCACAAATTATACCGATATGAAATAAAGTGAAAGAAGGAGTTATACTGTGAGGGAGGGACATACAAAGAAACAAAGAAATAATCTTATAAATGTGTTAGGAACAATCACATGAAAGAAAAAAACATTTGAATACATATTTTAAGGTTCATTTCCCTAACATCAACTTATCTGACCTTTTCTGCTTGACTCAGACATATACTAGGTATTGCAAATAAGGGAAACCATGGGACCTATGTTTCTTTGGGCTTGGCTTACTTCACTTAATATAATTTTTTCTAAGCCTTTCCACTTCCTAAAAATTGGAGCAATGTCATTCTTTCTGATGGAGGCATAGAATCACATTGTGTATATATACCACAATTTTTTGATCCATACATCTACTGAGGGGCATCTGGCTTGATTCCATATCTTAGCTATAGTAAATAATGCTGCAATAAACATAGTCGTGTTGGTAGCTTTATTACGGTCTTGTTTGTAAGCATTTGGGTAAATGCCCAACAGTGGGATTGCTGGGTGAGAGGGGAGCTCTATGTGGAGTCTTTTGAGGAACCTCCATACTGCTTTCCAAAGTGGTTTAACAAGTTTACACTCTCACCAACAGTGCAGTAAGGTTCCCTTCTGTCCACATCCCTTCCAGCCTCTGTTGTTTTTAGAGTTCTTAATTTTAGCCATTCTAACTGGAGTGAGGTGGTATCTCAATGTTGTTTTGATTTGCATTTCTTTTATGGCGAGAGAAGTTGAGCATGTGTTCATGTGTCTATTGGCCATCCTTCTTTGCTCTTCAGAGAGGTTTCTCTTTGAGTATTTAGTGCACTTGTTTCCTGGGCAGTTGTGTCTTTAAAGATTTGTTGTTGGGGTATTTAATTTTTTGAGTTCAAGGTATATTTTAGATATGAGACCCTTGTCTGTTGTGTGGCTAGTGATGATCTTCTCCCAATCCTTGAGCTTTCTATTGATCTTTCTAGCTGTGTCCTTTGCCATGCAGAAGCTCTGCAATTTCATGCAATCCCATTTGTACAACCTTTCTTTGTTTTGTTGTGTTTCT